AACAACAATAATGTTGCCGATAACAAAAGTAATAATCTAACTGAGATAAAACAATTAAAATCTCGTTATTATGAATCTGAGCTAGAAAGGGAAGGGTTAATTTCTTTAACGGAATCTTTAAAATCAAAGATTCGTGCACTACAGCAACAGATCTTTTCCCAAGAAAGTACGATAAAATCTGCCAAGATTTAATATCACAAGAGGAAATTTTATTAGACCAGATAGAGAGGTATAAGCAAAAGGTTACCGATTCAGAATCGCATCTAAGAACCATTAAAAAGGAAATCTTTTCACTAAAAGAAAATAATAATGGATATATAAAAAAATACAATGAGTGCAACAACAAAATGTTCAAATACAACAAAAGAATAATTTATTAGAAGTGGATAAGCAACAATTATCTAAAAAATTGAAAGAAATTGAAGAGGAGAATAATTTATTAAATAAGGAATTGAAACAATTTAATGAACAATTCAATCTAATTGAAAAAAATAGACATGATATAAAAGATTCTTTTTGAAAAATTAGATTTAGATCATCGTAGATTACAATGTAAAAATTCGGAATTTGAATTAGAAATTGAAGCTTTACAAAGTGAAGTTAAAAGACTTCGCGAGAAATGTGTCTTGCAATATCATGAAATTGATGAATCAAATAAATTAAATGATAAATTAAAAAATGATATCAAAGCCTTGAAACATGTCATCTTTGAGCAAGATCGTGTCCTCCGGGAAAGAAATCAACAAGGTAAAATTCTTTGTGATTTTATTAAATTTAAAAGATACTGTAAATTAAATGATCCTTCTTTAATTTTATACAGGCGAATTTTTTTTTTTTTATTCGTTTGTTTGATGGTTGGATGTGTAATGATTGTTCATGTGACTTGAATACTTTTCAGAAAATGGAGTGCATCCGGCATATTGTAACGTATGCAACAAGTATATAGTGGGAATTCGATACAAGGTATATTCCTTCGTTTAATCGCTTCTCCAACATTTCAATTTTTTTTTCTCACTGTAAGTTCACTTTTAGTGTGGTCATTGTGATAATTATGATATATATTCAAATTGCGAAACATCAAACCATAATCGCGATCATGTATTTATTAAGATTAAGCGTCCAATTGGTAATGATAGATTTGCAAGAACTGCTTTATTACCCGAATTTAAATTAATCGAACAAATGAACAAGGTAAAGAAGAATAGATGTCTTTATTATCATTATTATTTTGATAGTCACTTTTATTTAATATTTAATATTTATTATTCATTTATTCGCTCTTAAATATCGATCATAAAACCGTTTGTAAATGTTTGTCACAAAAATATTAAAGGCATTAGGTACAAGGTAAATCAATTGTGTTTTTTTTTGAATACAAAAAAGGAGAATGCTGAGTAAGATTTCCACCCCTTTTATCATTTAGTGTGGACATTGTATTAAATTTGAAATGTGCGTGATTTGTGAGGCATATCCATTCAATTTACATGATCCCACTCATGTATTTATAAAAATTAAAAGACCTGTACAGATTGATTCTAATGAAGCTATATTACTAAAGCCGCTAACGTGTAGAGGGGTTTCTTTTTGAAATTTTTTATTTGTTGTTATTAGTTTAAAATATTGAGGAATTCTTTCTTTTCCCGTAATTGTATTGACTTTATGACTTGCTTATAACATGATATGAAGTCACAATAATAATATTAATAAACATTTTTATAATAAGGTCATTTGCGGTATACACTGATCCATGCGAGATGTAACTGAAGTTTAAATTGTCAAAGGATAAATAGTAATAGAATGAACCCTGGAGATCGTTGATGCGCGTGCTAAGGCTTTGTCTGCCTAAACTAAATTTAACCGGTTAATTAACCAGTTAATCAAGATTTTAACCAGTTCTTATTAACCAACCCCTAGTTAAAGTAATGTGGCCTTGTTGAGGATCAGGATTGGGTAGTTATTAAATTCGAATTTGGGACATATGATCGAATGAAAGGCGCTAGCCCCTCTCCCAATCCACAATACAAGATAAGATCCCAATAATCAGATGATTAGGTTTACAGGAGGAGTTTGGAAGTTTTTAAAATTATTTGATCAATTTATTTTTTGTATAGGATATTTAGAGAGATAAAGAGATATCTGCAAACTATGTAGTCGGTTTCG